GAATACTCACTCCACTTGAAGCCAGCTTTCGTTCTCCCATCGTTGTGATATGTACCTACTAGCCAACCAGACGAAACTGGACACAGACCGAGAAACACACCACGCCGATAAGGTGACGCAAGCTTTGCTTCTTTCTTGTTGGTGGTGTCTACGACCTGTTCACGAAAGTACACCAAGCAACCAAATCTTCTTAACATACCTAGACCACTTTTCGAGGACTTCTTTCCTATCCTCTTTTCTAGTATCTCGACAGGACTCATTCCATCACGTTCTGGCATTTTTGCATAACGATGCGGTAAGCGATTCCAACAATCTCCGGCATACTGTAAGCAGTAACACCAAAGACGTCGGTCGACTTTGACCAACATGGTACGTACAGCACCGAAAATGGTCCGCATGAAACGTTCGCAAGTTCCGTTCATTTCTGGGTTGTAAGGAACTCCAGGAATTTCCGAAACCAGTAGCGATTGCATGACTTTGGTCATATGGTCACTACTTAGGACGGGTTCGTTATCTCTACGGATGAACCACACCACCTTGTCGTCGAGTGACAATGAGTAGTCCTGGCGAATGCCTTTTATTACTTCTTCAATCACCTCTACGCAGTCCGACTTGAGGCAAAGAGGACGAACGAAACACATTTTAATCGAATCACAAATAATGACTAAAGCACATCTTTTGCTTCTTATAGATACTGGTCTAATACCAACTGCGAAATCAATTGCAAGTGTTTTCAATGGAGAAGGTATATGTCCAGGGGGTCTCACTTTTGCATGAGAGCGTCTTTGACCTTTGGTTCGATCACATTCTGGACAAGATACACTAAGGCCATCAACGTGAAAGTGACCAAGTCTACGATGTATGTCTAATCTTGAAGCTTGTGAATGAAGTCTAGCTTCTTCTATACTAGTGCATACTATATCCTCCTCAGTTTCATTTTCTTCTTTGCTAAACATGTCACAGCCTAGAATAGGTAACTGCATCTGGGGGCAATTTGTTATGGGTAGAGAGCGGCCGGAGCGAGTATTGTACAACGTTCCGCCACTTTCTGTGAAATTCATTTGCCAACCCTTTTCATGACAGTTTCCTTCACCTAACCACGGTATAATGCGATCTATGGCTTTTGGTAAGTGTTCAAAGTGTACGCCATATTTTAATCCTAGTTTGTTTTCTTTTAGTCTACCTAGGTTCCCACTTCGCTTTCCAGCAGTGCCACTAATATGACAAAGCCGGTGGCTAATTTTCTTGAAATCGGAACGATGGCTAGACAAATACTTATTTGCACAACTGTCAACAAGTGAAACTGTTTTGCTTTGATTTGCACTAAGATAGCAACCTGAGTGATTGTCAATCATATAGCTTTCATCCCTAAGCAGTTCACTTCTATATTCTTTATTCTCAAAGTTTTCTTCCAAGTTCAGCGAACATTTTCCATCCTCATTTTGGAAATCTTCTTCCAATTCTTCTTCATCTTGGGACTGTCCATCTCGTCTCCCATATCCATTCCATTCCGGATTGGTTTCGACTCAGCGTTGTGGTTGTTGTCCACCCCATTGCTGCTGTGGGTTACCGTTGTCGAATCCTTTTCCTCCACTTTGTTGCGGTGGATAGTTGTTCTGGTGCCACGGAGGGATAGTGTTACCTTGCGGCCAACAGTTGTATGAATTGTTGAAGAAGTTGCTGCCCATGGCTTTGTTAGGTTGGTAGCTTTGACTCATCGGGTTTAGCCAGCATTTGTGCGCCTTATGTCCATATTTGTGACAATAGTTGCACTGGATGCCCTCATTAGGATTTGAGTTCTTAGCACCTTTACCTTTGCCATTTCCTTTGTTCTTCTTACTACTAGAACTACTACTACTACTCTTTCCACTTCCTTTTGTTGCGTAGACCTCGTTCTTGATTTCTTTGCGAATCTTCTTGCGAAGTCGTTTGATCGTTGTTTTCTTGAGAGCGGCAAACGCGTTACCATCGTCATCACTCTCATCTTGACGTTTACGCTTCTTGGTTTTGTTATTGTTCTGGTTTTCATCATCGGAATCTTCGACAGCTGGAAAAGCTTTGCCGAAAGATGGATTCTCGATCTTGTACTCACCAGAGTCAATCAAACTTTGAAGCCGTTTCGTGAGTCTGTCACCGATTTGGACGAACGTTAGATGTTCATCTTCTTGCATCCTCTCGATTGTCTGTCGAAATGCTTTGGAAAACATTTTTGGCAGAATGTCGAGGATTGCTCCGTTTTGTTGATCAGCAACAGCCACACCAACTTCCGGCGGGTATACGGTCGGAGATTGGTTCATGACATCTCTAACCTTCGCCAAGAATGTTGGAACGTCTGGAGGAGAATCACTGTTCGTGAAATGCATCCCTTCCAACGCTTTAGCAGAGATTCGCTGCTCTGTGCGGTCATTTTGACTGAAACCAGCGTCACGGAGGTTTGTTACCACTTCACCAGCGTTCATTACAGTGGTATCCTGATCCTTCATATGTGCTGCGGCTGCACCTTTGAGCGACTTGATGATCACGTTCTTCAAATCTCGCCAATTCTGCTGGAGCTTGCGGTCGTTGTTGTTGGGTTGGTTCGGAATCCCTGCCGCATTGCCGTTCAGCACGTTGTTGAAGTATTGGACTAGGTCCAGGCGGTCCGCTTCTTGCGTTACCGCTCGAAGCCAGTCACGCCAGTCAGATTTCTGTCCCAGTTTGGGTGAAATCTCTCCAAGACTCATATCGGGCATTTTGTGGCGCAAATAATGCGACTTTGTTTTCTCTACTTCTACAAAGTATTGACTAGCAATTTCTTTAATAAGGTAAGGCTCAAGGGCTTGAAACAGTGTTGGAACACCCGAACACGTCCAAGCGCAATATGAGGCTCTTGAGAGTAAATGGAATGATTATCGTTGCAATGTAACAGAAAGACGATCAGAACGGACGTGCCGAATGATCACTGACTGTTTAAGGCCCTGAAATGGTATCAAAATGGGTTCAATGTCATTGGGATATCATGAAGGGTCATAGTGCAGTTAAAGATCTGGGAGATCTTGCTGCTAATTCATGTTGGAATTCATTGAGTTCAAACGATGATCATAGGAGGAACTAACAAGAGTTCAAGACAAGGAACGGCATTGATCATGATCAAGGTGACGAGTGAGAGCAGTCATTTGACATTGAAATCAGGTTCGTTCGTTGGATCTTGAGCCAGTAATGACCATTGACCAACATTAAATAAAGAACAAGTTATAAGATGAAACACTGGAGGAAGAGTGCTTCTTCTAAAGATGGGCCTAGCGTCAATCAAAGGTGGTGGGGCAGCAGCCTTCTCGCGTGGAAGTTCGGCTCCAGGTTCTCAGATCGGCTCACCTCAACTCGGACCTCAAATCGGCTCTCCAGTTTTGGGACCTGCTTTTCCTATGCCAGCCATTCTTACGGCTTCTTAGCCCCTGCTTCTTGACTGCATGTGCATTCTCTGACGAACAGCGTGATGATTCTTGGCTCCTCTTCAATTCGACTGAGTACTAAGTAGATAACAGGGATGCAGCTTTTTTTATACAGAAGACTGGTGCTGCAGAAGATGATGCTAGACTGCAAAAAATATGCTTACTTCTAGCCTACAGAAGATGTTGATGCTAAACATTAATAAAAATAGTAATAGTGCTAATAAATAGTATCTAAGTACTTGTATTTATAAGTACTTTAACAGTGCTAATAATATCTACTTGTATTTATAAGTACTTTAACAGTGCTAATAATATCTACTTGTATTTATAAGTACTAGCTAATATCTACTTCTACTTACTTAAGTACTAGTGCTTTTTCTAAGCATTCCGGAGGAGCAAGTCTTCCCGTATTTGGAGGATATAATCCCGCAGCTGTAGTTGGTCTTCCCGGAGGACCCGGCGTAGTTGGTCTTCCTTCTCCCAACGGAGGAGGAGGAGGTGGCAGCATACTCGCAGGAGTGCTTTTGAATATGCAACAGAGAGGCGCAGCAGCGCAGAAGGGGGGGAATCACCAGGCAAAAGGAAAAGATAACCATTGTCGAGATTGCCATCGAACCTTCAGTAATTCAAAAAGTCATTGCGATCATTGTGGACGTGAGCTGGAATTGGTTCCATTAAGGCAGCTGTGGTCCACCTTTTCGCTATTTTTACTAAAAACGTCATGACCAATTATCAAACTGTGCATCATTCATCCAGTGAGAGCATCTATTATAGCAGCTGAAAGTGCAACTCTTTTTCTACTTGAAGAAAAAGAGGCTCCCAACATCAAGGATCTAGGATAAAAACATCTAAGATCCTTGTTGGAGGCCTCTTTTTCTGGAAGTGCAACTCTTTTTCTGGACCGAGACCGAAGGTTTTTTGTTTGTTTTTACGGTCCCGAAAGAGAAGGAAGATGTGCACCCTCTAAAGAGCGCATCCACGAACAACTGGAAATGCGTCGGCTGTAAGCAAGAAAATTGGAACTGGCGGAACAAGTGCAGAACGTGTTTTAAGTCGCGACCAAAAGCAGAGCATTCGCGAAACACCAGTCCTTCACTGGACGACATCGATGCTGGAGAACCAAGTTGTAACTTGCTTGCATCTTTAGGGAGCTCCCCACATTGCATTCTGCACTTGCTTCCTTGACGTCTGTGGTGACCCCATAACTTCTTCGTAATAAAAATGTCTCTTAGATGAAGGTGGAGGTTATGTGGAACCGCGACAGGGACACACACATGGCAAGGGATGTTCTGAAGATTGCAATGGGGAAGCCTCTAATGATCTCCGCAATGAGTAAGAGTAACTCTCTTTCTCATTCTCTGTCAACTGGTGACACACCGAGGCAGACTTCTAAAGGGGAGAAGTCTACTGCGTCCATAATGATGTCGAAATCCACTATGCACAATATAAAAGGCAGCGGTGGCGGCAAAGGTGTAGGGAATAATTCTTGCGGGACTGGAAGTAATAATGTCCCTCTAGGTGGTGCCGGTGGCGGTCTTTCTTCATCTGGCAAAGCAGAACACAAAAATAATGGTCATGTACCATGCGAAGGAAGTCCTCATTTCCCGTCTCCGTCTACTGTGCCGTTACTCGTCGAGACTAACGTTTCTTTACCAAATGCAGTGGTCGAGGAAAATAAGGAAAACGAGAATCCCACAGAACATCAACAAGGTGGAAACACAATTATTATGGCTTAGAAATACCCCCATCCTTCTTCAGATGCATCCCAAGAGGGCCCTCCAATGGGAAAAGGATGTTTCTCGGGATGTTTCTCCAGATGGATAATTCGGGTGACCTCTAAGACAGATACTCTCTTCAAGTCCGAAGTAGATGATGTGAGTAGTAAGAGCAATACTCTCTTCAAGTCCGAAGTAGATGATGTGAGTAGTAAGAGCAATACTCTCTTCAAGTCCGAAGTAGATGATGTGAGTAGTAAGAGCAATACTCTCTTCAAGTCCGAAGTAGATGATGTGAGTAGTAAGAGCAATACTCTCTTCAAGTCCGAAGTAGATGATGTGAGTAGTAAGAGCAATACTCTCTTCAAGTCCGAAGTAGATGATGTGAGTACTAAGAGCAATACTTATGCTCTCTTCAATCCCGAAGTAGATGTCTTCACCAAGAGCTACGGCACCTCCACAACAGCCGCCACTACTGGTAGTACTACAACCACGACTTCTAGTTCTAGTTTTTCCACAAGCACAACATCAGCTTTTACCAGTACAACCAAGTCTCCATTGTCTGGCACGATTCTTGGTGGGTGGGCGCAAGTGGAGCAGGAGTCTATCTTACCCTTCTTAATCACAATCCTGAAAGAGCAAGGAATAGAAAGCGCAGAAGGCTTTCGGATCATGACGCATTATGTTGACAGAGTTTGTGTTTAGAAGTTCATTCTCCTGTTTGATTGTGTACAAACGAAACATCGTCTTCCTTCTGCTCTACCTCAGAAACAGCCTTCAAGCATTCTTCTAATCTCGAGACGAGCAAAAGCGAGCTGTTGTGAAGGCTCAGGTTGCCAAGAAGAAGAAGGATCATTTTGCCAAGAGGATGCTGACTACGGTGAAAAACCCAGGTCCGGAGGCCACGTCGACGATGATACAACACGCTCCAGATGCTGCGCTAAACCCACGCTCCGATACTACGCCGACAACGATGCACGTTGGCGCAAGTCTCTTTTTTAAGGTTGTTGTTGTAAGTAGAAGCAGTAGCCTGCCACCCTGGAGGCACTATCAAAGATACTCCCTATCTTCAGTGTCCACGACTGGCCACAGCTTCTAATCTTTCGGCAGCCGCACGTCAACGTAGCAAGGAAGGTGCTGGAGAAACGCCACATTCGAATGTAGAGGGGCAAAGTCAATCGAAGAACCAAACCGCTAGTCGTGTAGAACAAGCCATTCAGAATGTCCAAGCTGCGGCTTCGAGAACTTCGAGAACTGCCACAGACACAATGATTGCCCATCTTCATACGAGAAAATCCACCTCTGCCAGTTCCTCTAACAGTACAACTGGGATGAACAACGATCCAGCAACATTTGCACCGTTGCCTCGAGGAGCACCGACAGGTACTCAACAAGGTCAAGGTCGAGAAAGTACCGGAGGAGTTCTTGAGCCTACTTCTATTAAGGGTAAGTAGGTCAAAGGCGTTCCTGTAGAAGCCGTTCGTTTTGCCTTTCTCAAAAGGGGGAAACTACTAGACCATAAACTATCCATTTCGTTCCTCGCCTTTTTAAACGAACAGCAAAATAAACTTTTCGCTAATTCTATCAAAAAGGAGAAGCCGCGCGCGAGGACTGTGGCTGATCCTGATAGCCCAGACCCCTTTGGAGGTGCACTGGACGACTACACTCTGTTCGAAATCCGAGAACAAGAGGCAAAACGCCAGCAGAAGGAGCGTGAGGAGGCAGAACGCGTGGCCGAAGAAAAGAAGAAACAAGAAGCGGACGAAGCAGCAAGGCGTGAAGCGGCAAGAGTGAAACGCGAATTCGAAGCTGAAATGAAGAAGAAAAAGGAGCAGAAAGCGCTGGAGGCAAAAGCTTCGGCCGAGAAGAACGAGTGGACAGCGAATCTGCTTAAGAAAGCAGCATCTGGGAGTAGGAATTGCGAAAAAAATCTTGGGCCCCTATTGCGTCGTCTCGCTGCGGAGGTTTCTGACCAAGAGAAGCTGTTGGAACAATGTGACACCCAACAACGACAAAGTACTGATAACGATAAGATTTTTGTCCGCGTTCTACAAGATAATTGTGCAGAACAATTCGAGGAGCAGGGGCTTCAGGGTAGAAGCATCTGCAGTATTGTTGGGTCCGCAGATGAGGTGGAAGAGGAAAAATCCAGATCAGACACAGTTACGGGTGAGAAAATCTCCCTTACGCAATATCTGCAGCAAGAACGGACCAAGGCAGCCACGACCCTCGACGAGTGGCGCAAAGAGGTCGAGCGCCTCCGCGTAGACCTAGACGCGGCGTCTTTGTGTCTCTCTACGAAGATTAAGACTTACCAGAATGAATCCATCTTCTCAGGCTTCGTCTTGGAACTGTCCAATAACTAAGGGGAGAACAGGTCCAAAATGATTTCCGAGATGGATTTGTGTTAGACTCTAACAAAAGTGGCGTGACTGAGGATGGCCAGAAAAACCTCGACAAAACAGCTTCTACGGTAGAGCACGCTTTGAACCGCCTGAGTGAAATCCGTACCCTAGCGGTAGAGAAGATTGAGAAGGGCTTGAGAGGTGGAAGAAAAGCACTGAAACTAGCAAACGAGTTGTGCTTAACAAGAGCTCTGTCGATGGAGTATGGGGGAGCGGATGTAGACGAAAAAGAAGAAGTATATAAGTCTGCCTCAGCTGCAACGTCTGGTGCTGCTTTCAAAGTTCGAGTGACTCGACCACTTCATGAGCGTCGTCGAATGAGGAGGAAGAAGAAAGCCACACTGCTTTCAATAAAAACCTCAACTAAAATTCAGACTAGCAAAGGTTCTCTTTTGGAGACGAAGAAGACTGCAAACGTTCCAAAAGAGGCTGCTGGAGGAGGCAATCCCAAGAGCCGCACTTGTACGATTAGAAGTAACTACTCGGATTCAAAACGCTTACGATGGTCCAGAACGGCGGTCGCTTGCAGAAATCAACCAAAGAAGAACAACAATACGCCAACTACTACTTCCACTTCTACCACTTGTTCAACACTCTCTAGAAGTAGGAAATGTACCACCACGACAGGCACTTCTAAGAAGATTTTCGCTTCACATAAGGAACTCCATGATAAACGTCGCGATATGTTTGCGCGGGAAGAGGCAGCTCATCGAGCCAGGATGGTCGAAGAACGCATGGCCAACCGCCGACCCCCACGAAAGTTAAGGGTCGTACCGTCCACCCATCTCTCGCAGGATCTTCTTTTCTAGTTGATACTAGTTTCTACTTGAATGATGAGAAGTGCTGAAAGATGTTGAACATCTGATGTTCTACAAGATGGGTAGTCCGTACTCGTCCTAAGAAAGGATGGTCTGGACCAAGCGATCGCGAAAAGCCTAAAGCGCAGAATCACAGGTGGGCTGGAGAAAGACTGGACATTTGATCCTGAGAAGCTATGGGAATTCCCGAAAAAAGCAGCCAAGGAAGCCAAAAGGAAAGGTATCCAACTTGGGGCAAGAGATATATCTAGAGCAGGGAAGCTGCATGCGCTTGCAAGGTTGCGTCGCTCGTATTTGATAGGTGCGAAAAAATTGAAGTTGACAAAGAACCGACTCGCGGCGACAACTAGTACGCTAGTAGCAGGAAGAGGACGCACAGGAACGACACCAACACAGAGAACGGGTGCTAGTTCATCCTCTCGCACTATCAGTGGTTAAGGCTCCTGGTTCTTCACTATCCCATGTGGACAAAAGTACAAGTAAAGTGCTGCCCTTTGATTCAGAGGTAAAAGCAGAGCGAAAAGTAAGTGCAACTCAGTCGACCACGGATAGTAAAAAACTAGTGCTAAAGTGATGCAGGAGGTGCTAAGAAATCTTCCTTGATGAGCCAAGTAAGAAAGAATGGAGCAAAGAGTGGCGCAATAACGTCTCCCCGCTCCTCGTCATTGAGAGGGAGTGGCCCACTGCTTTCTGAGTCGCGTTTTGGAGCCTCAACAAAGTTTGGCAGTATCTGCCCTTTGGATCATACCTTTGATATCCACGATGAGAAATTGCCACATCTAGGTGGAAGCTCGTCTTCTTCCAGTTTGACAAGTCGCTCCCCCACCTCTAGAGCAGGAACTTTAGGGCTGTCCACCTTCCCTTCTTCGGCTTCTATGAGCGGTCCTCTTCTTGGCAGGTTTTCATCTTCCAGAGCTCTGGATATACTCCCGCCACCACCGCGGTCCTCCTGGAAACCCAGTCTGACCCTACTTTCTATTCCGGAAGACGACGTTTTGGACGTGAATATGGAGGAAGATGAGAACGAAGACGAGGACGAAGAAATGAAGTTTTTATGGTTTGCACTGATCTTGTTCTTGGTGCGAGATTCGTCGCATTGCATTGTATCCATGCTTTTCATCAGTCGTTTCTTGGTACCCTGATTTTCTTGATGTCCTGTACTATCATTTGAAATGAAGTAAATTCCGAGGGTTATATGGTGATCGAGATGTTGTTGACGGGCCCACGATGACATGAAGAAGTAGAGCTGACTGCTCATCTAATAAAAGACGGAGGAATCAGTGATACTGCTTCTGAGAAGAGTCCGAAAAAATTATGGCAGCTTGAGGAAATCCGCCTTTTTTCCCAGCTTTTGTTCCTTTCCCTGTTTGTGAAAGGAACAAAAAAGGCACGAAGATGCTCAACAGATTGATGGAATGAGCGAGGTAAGATCTTGTCTCTTCAACAACTGGGTCTTGGGGTCTACTCCTTCTGAATATGCATTCTGTAAGGTCTAAAAGAAGGAGGCGACGACACGTTACTTGGTGCTCTGGGAGGTAGATTGGATGCGATTGCGGAAGAGGACGAAGACGAAGAAGACTCCGACGGCGATGCCAAGAGTGCAAAGCAGGATAACACTGGCAACATCATGGATCTTAATAGAGTTAAGGCTACCTCCGCTGAACAAGCATGATCCTCTTCCTCAACATCAAATGCATGCTTGGCTCTTTGTCTTTTTCTACTTGAAAGAAAGTAGAGGCCTCAAGGTCAAGGATGCTTCTAACAAGGAAGATGTTCCTAAGGATGCCAATTCGGTAGTTCTAGTCTAATAGAGGAAACAGTCGCGCTACCACTGGTCTTGCCGTTATCGCCGAGGAAGATGAAGAAGACGACGAGGAAGATGAAGAAGACGTAGTTGACAAAAGGGATGCCGACTTGCGACCGACCTGGAGGATTGCTGAGGCAATCGCAGCAGAGAAAGACTAAGACTAGTTTTTCACTATCCCGTGTGAACTATGCTGAGACTGAGAGGAGTCCCTCGCCCTTGGTTCAAAGGGGAAAGTGAAAAGGGGACGCAGGGCATTTCACTCAACGAGGTATAGTGAAAAACTAGCGCTAAAAAGAGGACCAAAAGCGAGGAGCAAGAGCAGCATTTCCATGTACACGACCTGCTTTGGTTGAAGAGGATGAGGAGGATGCCTCTGATTATGGCTACTTCTTGCCCTAATCATGATTCATCTTGTTGGTGTTCTGAAGCATCTATCTTGCAACTGTCCCATAAAAACTCACCAGGGGCTATTTCCAACTACTTCAGTACAAGATGTTGACTCCCGGGATGGATTTCGGGCTTAGCATTCTAATACCAATCTGAAGTAGACAGTGATGAGGAGAACTCTTCGTCTCCTGCTAGTGCTGTTGAAGAGCGTCTTGCCTCACCAGAGCTACAGCCGACCAAAAAGCCATCGTTGAAGCGCACAAGAGAAGAAAAGGAAGAGGATCATGATCATATGGCTGTTGAAGGAGAAGAGGATCAAGAAGAGCAACGAGTTCCTGCTGGTACCGTGACGGAAGCAAGTGCTGGCGTTGCTTTACTAGAAAATGGTGTTACCAAGTGCAAGATGGAGTCTGAAGACGGAGATGATGACGCGGACATCCTTGAGGATCAAAACAGTGACCACTCTGACGCTCAAGAACAACCTGCTGAGGTTTTGTTATACGAAATTCCGGCCGATTTTGTGACTCTCTCGTCAACAGGAGGCCCTGCTTCCAATGCAGGAAGTAGGATGCGAGAATCTTCATATTCTTAAGGCTCGCGTTATTTCAACTTGGGAAGCATCGATCTTGGAGGGGTTTTGTAATTTAAATAAATGGAAAATGTAAATGACTACCAAGATCAATTTCATGTTACTTACATGCCAAGATCGTGACTATCTTCTTAGATGCTTTTCAGGTTGAAAGATTTGGAGTAATGTAAATGTCTAATGTAGCTTCGCATCTCGCGTAGACAAGATGATGGCTAAGACGCTTTTGGCGATCTCTTCGCACCTAGAAGACCCTGTAAGAGTGCCACCGGTTGCTGTTCAGAACAAAGGCGTTAGTCTCTATTGTGGTGGTTCGGCACGAGAGGGATCGATTTTAAGTCGATTTGGGGCTTCAGGGGTGGAAACGAGTATTTCGGCAAGAGACAGGCTGGCGGAGTACAAAAAGGCACTCTTTTTTAAGTGTCGGAACATCAACTACCCATCTTTTGGAACATTTTTTGGAACATTTTATACTTACTACCTGGGGTTACAACTTTCAATATATTATACATCTTTCTGGTGCTTGACAGCTGCATCCAAAAGAAAATGTCCGAAAAGATGGGTCGTTCTTGGTACCTGCTCTAACTTTTCTTCTGCTGGCTCTAGTGGAACTCTTAGTGGAACCCTTAGTGGAACCCTTACTAGTGGAGCAAGTACTGCTCTTGTTTCTTCTAGTTTGAGTGGCAGAGGTAAAAGTTTTTTGATAGAAAGACTGGAGGTAGGAGACCGAGACTACAACGTGGAGGAGGAGGACGAAACTGACGATGGAGGACTACATATTAGGGACGATAAGGAAAAAGACGTTGAGATGGAACCAAGAGAGCCAACAGAACCGAAACCAAACAACCCGATTTCTTACGGCTGATTGAAATGCTTCATTTCCAGCGTTTCCTCATCTGAAGAAACGAACTGGAGAAGAGAATTTTTTTTTTGGGCTCTTCTAATTCTTCGGGAGCACCCTGTTGCAGCTTCAGACACTGAAGCAGGGCGTCAATCGTGTTTCCGCCGAGGATCTCACTCTGGCCGCTCTGCAGTATGTTGAGAAGAAAAGCGATGCTAGAAGTGGTAGACTTCATGGAATGGAAAGGTTGCCGAATCTGCAAAACGCAGACGAAGAAACGATGCTACTGTCACGGTTGCGCTCTTGGAGAATTGCGTTTTGCTTGGATCACAGTCACAATTCATCTGGCACCACAAGTTTTGCGTCTACTATCAAAAGCGGTTGCGGCACAGAGGTTGTACAAGAACATAACAACTTCGAAGATGAACAGATGGAGGCAGTGGACGCCAACACAAGCGCCACCACTGCAGTTGTAACATTACCGAACATGAAATTGCTCGATGTGCACGCCGTAGAAATTTCGCAGGAACTCGCTATCATCGAATTACCGACAAAAAGAAAAATATCTTCAATTTCCAAGAAAGAAGATAAAAATTTGGCAAATCAAACTACAGAAAATGAAACACAAGCGCAACAAGACGAAATGGAAACACTCGTAGCAGCGGAGGTTCCTGGTGTTTTTGCTATGCCGTTAAGAACGTTATCGATATCGACGTCTTCTACGGTAGTAACGTCTCATACGACTACGGTTGCATCCTCCTCGACCACGACTAGTACTGGACATCAAGGAGCACAGGTAAAGTCAAATGAAGGCGGAGGAAATTTATGATATCCGGCTATACATCTTCAGAAGCATCTTGGCCCTCCGTGTCAGGGGAAAACGGGTCCAAGATGACGCTCAAGATGGATTCCCGGAAGGTCTAAGAAATAAGACGTCAGTCGACTACCTGGATTTTCTTGCGCAGCAAACTCCAGGACCTTACACCGCTTTCATCCGAACCACTTTGGACTCCACGACCACACGCCAGCTCCCACCGATGTTGAGGTACGACGTAGACAGTGCATGGGAACGATCGCAAGTACTAGGTGGAGCAACATCACAAGGACTTGGTGGAGCAACGGACTCATCAACCACTTGTGGTGGAGCCTTGTCGAGTCCAGTCGCTTTGAACAAGAACCTTCAAGTTGGAAATAGTACTACGACAAATACTTCTGCGTCTGCGATGAAGACGAGTCAACTTCTTGCGGATACTAGTACCACGACAAGTACCACCTACACAACTCCTGTGACACGAAACGCTGTTGACCAAGACCGGTCTCGTCTAGAAAAGAGCCTTCACAGTATACTAAACGGCGAAGCAGGAGACCTAGCAGATGGCGACGGTTTGAACCATGACAGAGAAGATGCTACCATTGCCACTACTAATCCTACTACTTCTGCTGCTAGTGTTGCTCGTGGCACCACAGACGCCATGTTGAGGATGCTTCCCTCCAGCGGACTTCAAGAGTCTTCGAGCCACATCAGAAGAACGGTCTTCCGCAAATTTCTCGTACCCAAATGGATCCGAAGGGTAGGGCGTGACGCGAAGCCTCTAGTTCTTAGGCCGCCAGAGAAGATGCGGCGGATTGGCAATTCGACAACGTTTGTGTTGTATGAAGCGGAGGCAGAAGATGCCAGCGATGAAGATGCCAACGATGAAGATGTTGCCAACAGAAAGGTCATCGTCTTCAAGGGTTCCAGGAAATCGGTCCAGAGCGAGATGAAGTTGACATTTACTTCTTTCTTCAACGATATGCGCCGCTACACGTATAAAGTGCTCAAGCCACTGCTCTTGGACGAAGGAGAAAATGTGAAAGGATATTCGTTGCTTCTTCGATCTTTCTTGAAAATGAGCACGACTGCAACTACTGTTGACATTGGTGGTGATAAGAACTACAATGACAAGAACGTTCTCGTTGTAGATAAATTCCAGAGCAGCAGCACGTTGAACACGGGCAGAGACCAGAACAAAGACCATAAGATTCTTGTTCCGCGTTCTCTCTTCAAGGACCTCGCGCACTTGTTCATGGATATCAAGGCCAAATTGCCTTTATTCAAGGAGAAAGAAACAAACAAAGACGACGATAACTTCATCAAGAACCACGACGACTACGAAGTTACAAATACCACGACAAAGAACTACGAGAATAACATTAACAAGAACCTCCACGACCACAGTGTGAAAATTTACAGTCCCTCTGCCCTTCCCATTGCACTTCCCTCAAGAGCATCATCAAAAGCAGGAGGTGGCGCTTTCTCGAGTAGGGATTCGTCGAAAGACTCGGCAACGTCTTCTTCCAGTAGTTACTGCTACTCCTCGAACGCCAACAGCGCCAAAATCGCGAAAACAGTCACCACTGGAATGCTCAAGGTACACTTGTATCTGTTAAGTGGGTTGATTATCGCGTGTACACCAGAAGAGGCAGATGGAGGACAACAGCAAGATGAAGGACCACAACAAGAGCAACAGAACGAGGATAAGAAACTTCCGAAAGAGAAACAACAACAGGATACCACGACAAGTGCTGCAATGACGATTAACGATACTAGTGCAACCATTTGTTCTGGTGCAACCACTCCCACTACGACTACCACTGCCACTGCTGCTGCATCAAGTTCAACCACAAGCAGCTCTTCATCCGTATTACCTTACTCGCTGACCGACTTCGCCACGACGCCGCACCTCTTTGCATGTGCCCTACGAGCGTTGACCATTGCCGACAAGGCGTCTAGTACTGCCAATCAGATGGCCACTGGTGGAGCCATGTTGTTGGAAAGCGATACCATTCCTAGAAGCGTCATGCACAAGATCTCACGTCAGTTCTGGGATAACATGATTACAAGCAGAAAGGCTTCTGCGTCGAAACCAGTAGTGGCGGTCGGAGGCGGACAGAAACTTATGGATTTTAGAGGATTTCGATGAATTTTTGTGGTAAGGACTACTTCTTGCTGACGTACCTCAACATAGTAGTAAAGATAGATGTAAATTGTCTTCAGAAGTAAGTAGAATGTGCTAAACTACTTATCATGTTATACTTGTTCCGCTTCCGTTTGAGAGTTGCATCATGTCATGATCAATCTCCTACATGATCAAGCTCCTTCTCCCTCTAACATCGAAAAAGAGACTGGACTTACTGAGGACGAACTGCGAGTGGCAGAAGAGTATGGTGAGGGGATGTACGCGCTCCCTGACGCACTTGGAGGATCAGTGCGCGCCTTTGTGGCTAGGGTGCAAGTGGTTGATGCGGAATAAGAGTGAATGGGGGATGAATAGAGTGATTGATAGAAGTAATTGCTGCTGCAGCATTTGTTTAGCTCCTGACGACCAATATTTAGACTTTGGATAATATTATTATATTTTTTGAATAGATCATCGTCTCGTTTTTGACACTTGGTTCATCAGTGCTGAGGATACCCACTCGTGGGGGATTACGTGAAGATGACGATGATTTTTTTTTTGAATTTCGAGTAAGAAGAGGTGTTACTTCAGCAGTAGGTACATGAATATGCGTAATACAGAAGTCGTGCCGCATGAGAAAGGATAGCAATCCACCTGAATGAAGAAAACTGTATTATAGAGTCAAATTTGGAATGTCATCAGGTATCGAGATGATGTTCAACCCACTTCAAACGATATCTTCCTGTATCAACCACCCAACCCCGAAAATCAAATATGATTTTTTTACTTCCCTACTTCATTTCTAGACAGCACAGACTAGCTAAAGTAGAAAATCAAGACCCCTCCCTTCGAAATAGACCGAGTCATCCCCGACGAAGACTTATACATAGAAATCAATACACCCTAACCCTACTAACAACAGTCTCAACAAAACCCCCGGATCAAATCTCGTTAGGCACTTTGCTAGACTCAAATCATCGAAGCCCCACGATGAACACACCTCCAATCTGCAACTTCTTGCCGCATCAACTCAGGCAAGAAGAGAACTTCTATGATGCAGTACTGCGTCGCCACTGTGTTGAGGCGCGATAGGATTTTCTGCTTCCGCCAATTCTTCGCTCCCTTGTGGAGTATATGATCGCCACATCTTGACCAATGTAGGATGAGAGAAGTCTATCTTTATAGATGTTGAGAGAGTATCAGAATCAGTATGAGTAAGGAAGTCGAGGAGTAAACCTTCCTTGAGATTGTTGAGTCGACCTTCCTTGAGATTGTTGAGTCATGAGATGAGCCGCAGAGAGTTCACCCAAGTACACTTTGTTCAGTTTTTCTAGTTCTGTAGTCGGTTACAATCTCTTTATGCTCATAATCCTTGTCCTTCACCCCTTCAGTTTGTTGTACTTCTACCTGACGAGTAGACAACTTTAGTTTGCTATGCTCACGACATAGGTTGCCCCCCACAAATTCATTTTTATGCACTCGTCTAAACAAGGTTTTAAGAGGTAGAAACGTCTTGGCATCAATCGTCTAAACAAGGTGCATTGATGTCATCAAAAGTGAGGTCACGACTAAAGTTGTTGTATTTGTCAACCAACAAAAATGTCGTGGTCTTCTCGTTCTTATACAAGTAGGGCGACCTGCTCCTTTGCACGCGCAGTTGAGGACAAAGCAGGACAACTAGTACGATCATCAGCTCGAAGATACTTCTCCGGAGAGATCGTCGTCCGCGATCCCACGCTAAGCACACCTACACTAGAGCGCGGAATCTCGATACGATCTCGTGGTTTGCCACTAACGGGTGGCGCAGGTAGTGCTCCTAGGAAGCCTCGACTTCCTGGGGAACAGACTAAAGTTGGGGTGGGAGAAGGAGAGGATGCACATTATCTACAAGAAGCGCATCCGACACAGATCACGACAGTCGGGCATATCTTGACGGACGATGAGCAAAGGACTGGATCAGTGATGGTGAGACGGCGAAGCTTGTTGAATTTATGGTGAAGATACTTAGTTTGAACGGCGGTGAATGGTCTGTAACATATTTAATTTGCATTGCTGATTAAAGACTAGAGTAGCCTCGTTCCACCAGATTCCACACTCACCTCTACAACGCCTTCTTTCCCCCACGCCTCGTTCCCCACGCGTCTCAGCCCTACAACGCGCTTCACATCGACATACACTCACGCTTTACATCGACCTACTACCCCCACGCTTTACATCGACATACACTCACGGTTTTACATCGACCTACTACCCCCACGCTTTACATCGACATACACTCACGGTCTTACATCGACCTACGACCCCCACGCTTTACATCGACATACACTCACGGT